GGTCAAACTAGCCAATCACAGCATCAGAACTCTAAGCACCTGAGAGAGAGTGGGAACCTCCCAGAACATTGTTTTGTGTCACTCCGAACAGACATACTCCAGGTGGGCAATCAGGATCTACTCACTTGCTAATAGCAATTCCCACCTTGGAGTTTACAAAGACTTATGGGTAGAAAAGCCACACTAAGTAATTTACTACACTGCAGATGGTAATGGTGCCATTACAGTTTCAGGCCAGCCAGCCTGGAGAGACCTTGTTGATACCTTCGACATCTAGCTGAGACATTAGAATGGCAAATTTTAGGAATAGTAACCAAGCCCCAGAGTAAGTTGAATTCTAAATAAAGCATGAAACCCTGGCAGTATTGGCCGAGGAAACAGAGTTTGGAGTTGCTTCCTGATGATTTAGAGGGCCTTTGGGATACCTTAGTCTTTCCCCATACTTGCCATTAACAGTGTTTAAAAACCAAGCCTTCATGAGTTCTAGATGATCAACCTATAATTGAACTGCCTCTGGTGTCATAGTGCCTAAGGCATTTAACTGCTAACCAGAAGGCTAGTGGTTCAAACCAGCCAGCCCAGCCAGCCACTCTGTGAAAGGCAGTCTGGGCAATCTACTTCTGTAAAAATTTACTGCCCCAAACCCATAGGAGGTTGCTATGAGTTGGAGTCAACTTGATGGCAGTGAGTTTGGTTTGGTTTGGTTTTAGAACAAAAGTCAGTACTCTTCAGAGGAAGATAACAGAATCCAGAATCTTTTACAACATGTCTGTAGAATGTCTAGCGTATAATAAAATTACTAGACATGGAAGAAAACAAGAAATTGTACTCTATAGTGAAGACAAAGAACAATCAATAGAAGTGAACCTTGATATGGCCCAGATAAAGATGTTAAAGCAACAATGATAAATATGTTCACATATTTAAAGGAAAATACACTCAGAAAGAATGAAAGGAAATACAGTGTTAAAGCATGAAAAGATAGGGACTCCTAGCAAAGAAATATATAAAATAATAACCAAGGGGAAATTTTAGAACTGAAGTTACAGTAAAATTCAATAACTGGATTGAAAAGTTCATTGGATTGTCTTATTGGGGAGATTGGAGATGATAGAAGAAAGATTAGTGAATTTGAAGACAGATCAATGTATTATCCAATCTAGAGAGCAGAGAGAAAAGTGAATGAAGAAAGTGCAACAGAGTCTCAGGGACCTGTTAGGCAGTATTGGATGATCTAACATACATGTAATTGGAGTCCCAGGAAGAAAAGAGAATGGGAATGGGGCAGAAAAGATATTTGAACAAATAATGACTAACATTTCCCAAATTGGATGAAAAAATACTGATTTAAGAGATCCATGAAGTTTAATGAGTTCCAAACAGGATGAAAAACCAAAAACCACACATAGGTACCTCGTAGATTCCAGGCAAAGTGGCCAGCTGGTGGTAATATTTATTGCTAAGAATCAACATAGTTTTCTAAGGAACTAAAAGGGTAGTGCATTTTAAGTGAAAACATAGAAAAGCTCAGCAAATACTAAAGGAAGAAACTTATTTATATATTTGTAGAATTATAGATATTGAGACCTTAATTTAAGATACATAACCTACTCAGGAGATGGCAAATGCTGTGGTAATTCAGCTCTCAGATAGAGAATAATTGTTTTATTTCAAAGACTCTCAAATGTCTATTTTTCTTCTTACTATTATTCTGTCCTACATAATTTATTAAAAAACAAAAGAAAAAACTGACAATAACGTCTCAGCTGAAATTCTACAATGAAAGGTCTACAACTCTTGGAATAGTTTTTGGAATAAATAACTGATACTGTTATAGAAATTATACTTTTAATTCCTAAATATGATGATAAAAATCTCAGTTAAAAAGGAATTAAAAGTAATATTTGAAATTTTGAATGATCTTTTCCCAAACAAGTGCTCCAAAATTACCTTAGAGAAGAGTTATGCTTTTATAGAGTCTTCAAGGAGCTCTGGTAGCATAGTGGCTAAGACACTTGCCTACTAACCAGACGGCTGGCGGTTCAAACCCACCAGCCACTCCTCGGAAGGAAGGTTGGGCAATCTTACTTCCGTAGTGATACTGCCTCGGAAACCCAAGGAAGGGTCGCTATGAGTCAGGTTTGACTTGACGGCACATAACAACAACAACAACAACAAGCCTTTACTCATGTGGTTTTATTTGCCTGAAACAATTTTCTCAACTTTCTGTAGTGTGTTAACTCTGACTTTGAAAATTCTTCTTAGGCTTTATTTCTTTCAGGAAACTTTTCCTAAGTACTCTGCTTTGGCCAAGTCTGGCTGCTTGGTATTATAGGAGCATAGATTGTCAAATGGTCACGTCAGCTACATGATTGTCATTGACTTTCTCTAAAGTTAGACAGATAATAAGTTCACATTCCTTTAAGTCGGGGATCATGCTTTTTTAATCTTTCCACCCCTGTCCCTGGCACATTTAGATGCTCAGTTAGCAGACTTCATTACAGGTAGTAGTGACTTATGACTATGATGGGGTTCCATTCTGACGACTGAAGTCAGTCAGTTTTGACATCAGTCAAATACCTCTTTTTTTCCCCCATTATTGCCTGCTATATGGCAGAATTTTGAAAAGCAAATCATAACATTGAACATCTGAGAACAACAACATCAGCAAATTACAAGCTACAGCACTGTATGTAGTGCATATTACTTACAAGATGTACCAAAAAAATCCAAAACAATAGATGGTCATAAGTGTGGTTCATTGTAACACAAAAACATTGTAAGTCGGGGACTACTGTGTTTGTTATAAACATGCTGTACATTCTGAGATTGTTAATGCCAAATGTAACTACAGAAATATTATCTGAAAAGATTTTACATAGTCCTTTTTATGGTTCCCCTACTATTAGTAGCTATTTTGGATATGTATAAATTATTGGTGTTAGCTGCCATTAGGTTGGCCTCTTACTTATGGTGACCCCATGTACAATGGAATGAAATGCTGCATAGTCCTGTACTATCCCCTTGATTGGTTGAGGATCAGAGTGTTGTGATCTATAGGTTTTTGTTGGCTGATTTTCAGAAGTAGATTGCCAGGCCCTTCTTCCTAGTCTGTCTTTGTCTGGAAGCTCCACTGAAACCTGTTCAGCATCATAGCAGCATGTTGTCCTCCACTTGCAGACAGCTGGTGACTGTGTCTCAGGTGCCAGACCTCTGGCACAGAAGGTGAGAATTCTACCACTGACCTACCACATGTATAAATTAGCTCTATTTATATATATGCATATTAGCTAATGAGATGCTGGAATTTAGATTTTGAATGGAGTAATGTTTTTCTGATTTTGAATTTGTTTTAAATATTAGGTCTTGGAGAAAATGCTTGTGCAAAGAAAAGTCATGAAAAGTATCTTATAGCGTTGAAGAGCTCTGGGCTTACATATCCTGAGGATAAGCTTATATATGGTATGCAGGAACCATCTGCTGGCACTAGCACTCTGGCAGTTCAAGGTTTGTCCAAATACTTAATTTGAACCATAGTAACTTTTCTATATTAAGACAGAAAATACGTTCAAAGTTTGCTCATTGTTGGAGAACATTTATTTTGAACTAACATTGTGTTATTCTTGTAAGGAAAGTAGTAAAATGTGGTAGTTTAAAAGCAAGAAAGAATAAATCAGCCAAAGAAGAGAGTCAGTTTTTCTTAGTTGGAATTTGGTTAGTTAGTTTATTAAGGCTCTTGTTCTAACTTATGAAAAATACAGAAATTACTGTTCAAGAGTAACCAAGAACTTTACTCACTCATTATTTTAGTAACCATAGTTTAAAAAGAAAGATCCTTCTAAAATACTATTCATGGTGATTAAGTCTGGATTTTCACTGGAAATTTTCTATTAAAGTAAAAACCTGTTAGGTCCAAATTTATTTAAGATGTGAACTCTGCTGAGGTAGCTTTTAGAATGACATGTTGTAACAAAACAAAACTTGGCATTTTGATGTTTGTATTTGATATTTATTTTGTTTCAAAATAATTTTAAAGTAAAGGAATATATGTAGCAATTCTGAAGGGCAACTTTTTTTCCCCCCTTCAAAAGGTTTTGCAGGTGCAACAGGACCCTTGGGACAAGTAGATTCTTCTGATGAGGTGAGATTTAAAATTTAAAAGCTTCTTAAAAATAGGATTTTAAAGATTTTAGAACTATGCAAATTTGTGGATGTTATAAGCTCTTCATTTTAAGACAAGGAAACTGAAGATAACACAATTAAAGAATAAAGACTAAAATTAGATTCTTATTTCTCCTTTATAACTAATTTCTCTTTTGCAGTTTAAATACAGTTTTTCTATTTGTTTTTCCCATAGGAGGATATGCTCAAATTTATCCAGAGTTGTCATAAGTGTAATGAAATGGTTTAAAAAAATTGGGCAGTTCTAGAATAATTTATTAAAAGAATATGAGATATACCTGCTTATCTAATTTCATAATAAATTTACACTTTTTATGTCAAGGGTTATTTAAAAAAAAAAAAGTGTACTGGGAAATAAATGATCAATTTTAAATCTCAATTTTTATGATGTTTATTAATAAAGATTTTTAATATACCCTTTATAATATTCCTATATTTTACTGGCATGTAAATTTTAAGAGAAAAATTGCTTTGTTATTTATATTTATTTTGATATTTATAAAATATAAATTTTATATTTCTAACTGTATGTTTAGGAGCTGTGGTAGCATAGTGCCTAGGGCACTTGACTGCTAACCAGAAGGCTGGCGGTTCAAACCCACCAGCCACTCCTCAGAAGGAAGGTTGAGAAATCTACTTCCGTAGTGATACTGCCTCGGCAACCCAAGGAGGGGTCGCTATGAGTCGGGGCCTACTCGATGGCACACAACAACAACAACAACAACAAACTATATGTTTAATGATAAAAAATTTAAAAATAAAATTGTGTTATCATTTAAACGTCTTTTATTTTCTTTGAAAATTTATTTTGATTTGACAGCATTGTGTGGACTAAGCCAGATATATCCTCTTATTGAAAGAATGATTTCTGTTATGGAAGTCTTGTAATTGATTTAATGACAAACTTTGTAGTAATATTTTTGTTCTCTACTAGGGCTCCCAAGGGAGCTCTGGTGGCGTAGTGCCTAAAGCATTTGACTGCTAACCAAAAGGCTGGTGGTTCAAACCCACCACCCACTTCTCGGAAGGAAGGGTGGGCAATCTACTTCCGTAGTGATACTGCTTGGGAAACCCAAGGAGGGTCGCTGTGAGTCGAAATTGACTTGACGGCAGTGAGTAAGGCTCCCAGAAGTGCAGCATAGCTTCATTTGAACAAACCATTTAAAATAGCTTTCATCAGAGTAGAGAGGCAATTTAATATGTGACTGATAAAAATAATCAAAATTCACCAAATTTGAATATAAAATTTATTCTTAGCAATTATTCTATATGCATATAGGGAGGCCATTTTGATTGCAGAAAAAGCAGATGGCTCAAACAGATAGGTACGATGAGGCTTATAAAGAAGAGTAGAGAGAAATGTAGAAGATCAACCATTGGTTAATCTTAATGTGATTGAACCCAGGCTTCCCCTTTTACTGAGTTACTGAGATCTGGTTACTTCTGGCCTGGTTGCTAATAATCTAGTGCTTCACCCACCAGCAGCCATGAGGCTTTTTGAAATATTAATTAGAAAAGACTCAAAAAAAAAAAAAAAAAAGCCTCACTGCCATTGAGTTGAATCTTACTCATAGTGACCCACCCTTGGGTTTCCGAGGCCTTATTACTATGGAAGTAGATGGCCCAGTCTTCCTTCTGTGGAGTGGCTGGTGGATTTGGATTTCTGGTTAGCAGTCAGATGCTTTAGGCACTACACCATGCTTTTATAATTATCCTTTTCTAGCAGAATCAGACAAATTTACATTGCTGTAGAGCAGTTTCTGGCAGGCTTTTACCATTTGGGTAAGGCTTTTTATGGTTAGTATTTCATTTCATGGATAAGAAAAACCTTAAAATCAAGGTAAGATGTCTGTTATGAATTTTCCTATTCTACACTGCTTAAGAGTTTTGAATTTGGAATTAGACTGCCTGTTTGAATATCGGCCTCTCTGCCAAAGAGTAATATGACCTTGGACAAGTGTCTTAACTTTCTGTACCTAAATTTCCTCTTCTGTAAAACAGAGATAATAATAGCACTTACTTTGTAGTGTCGTAGAGCAATATCACAGAGTTTATTAAGTATAAGGAACAGAGGTTTGTTGAGGGATAGAGAGAGTCCAGTCCTGCAAGAAAATGTCCAAATTCAGAGTGAAGATGGCTGCTCCACCAGACAATGAAGAAGAAAATATTTTTGTACATTTGGAGCAGGAACTAAAAGTTACAAAATCATAATTGGCGAAAAGAGAAGTTAAAGACAGGATATCTAAAAGCAGGACTTTAGCATGGGTAGGTGGTTAACACGTAAGTGATCGGTTAAGGGTATATAATTGCAAGCATATGTGCTCTTCAGTTTATTACTGGATGGTCACAGGACAATGAAAGGACAGGGTTTTCAGGTAACCTGCTATAAAAGTTGTTTTCTCAATCGTGTCTGTTTCTGGGTGTCTCTTGTAAAGACTTACAGAAAATACTGTGCATCAACACCTATCGAGTGTAAACTATCACATCTTGCATCTGTTTAGTGATAGTGGAAAGACCCTCTGGGAATAGATTGTGATGTTCTGCACCTACCAGACTTCAGAGAAAAAGAATGTTTCTTTAGGGTATATGGTCCGCATCAAGGTTATAGAAGAAATGCTGTTAGAAAAGCCAGCTTGTTTTTTGAAATTGTGATTTGGGTGAAAGTTTACAGCGCAAAATTGTTTTCCATTCGATAGTTTATGCACATTTTGTTTGGTGACCTTGACTGTAATCCCCACAATGTAATAGCTCTCTTCTTACTTCCTTTCTGTGGTTACCTTTTCCCTGTGTCCTTCTTTCCTTTGCATTTCTGCCCTCTGAGCTATTTTCCAGTACAGATGGTGCCCTTAACACTCCAAATGTCTTTGATTTTAAACTTCTATACGATAAAAACCAAAAACCAAACTTACTGCTGTTGAGTCAATTCGACTCATAGTGATCTTTCCTTGGGTTTCCGAGTCAGTATCTCTATGGGAGTAGATTGCCCGGTCTTCCTTCCAAGGAGTGGCTGGTGGGTTTGAACCACCAGCCATATGGTTAGCAGTCCAATGCCTTAGGCACCATGCTGCCAGAGCTCCTTCTTATACGACAGGAATCTTATAAGGATGGGATGAGTTACTATAAGTAAGTACATAGAACAGTGGTGCCTGGCACATTGTAAGTGCTGTGTGTTTATTGAATAAAAAAAATATAACAAGGAATTTAAAAAATTAATGTAGATTATTAGCTTATTATTATTTTTTTAACATTTAAAGACGTATTCCTAAGAACAATGTTGCTATAATGACAAATGGAAAAGGCTTACTGATATTTAAAGTAGACTTTCAAGAATATAAAAAATGGAAAACATGTAAACTTTTATTATTTTAACTGAAACATTATTCTGTTTTGAGGCTCAGAGGGGAATAATAGGGGTATGAATGCTAATTCTTCATATGCCAAAGAAAGAGGTTGCTAGATAGCTTTAAACTGTTCCATTCTTTTTTTTTTTTCTTCTTCTCTGCAGGTCTTTTTAAAATTGTGGTTAAAACATACATACCATAACATCTACCAACACAACAATTTCCACATATACAACTCAGTGACATTAATTACATTTAACATTTTGTGCCACCATTATTCTCTATCCTTGTCTAAAACATTCCAGCACTGTTAACATTAACTCTGTGCCTGCAAAAAGTGCAAGGCAGGGACATCCTCTTTCCTCTTCTAACTTCACAAGGGGAGAAGACAATTACCATCAGTACATCAGCCCATAGCTGATTCCTATGAGGCTGCAATCAGACATGCCACCCTCTCCTACCCCTTTAGCAATTCTGACACCAGCTCTCCCTCCCCCCATCACTCACTAATTCTCTACTGTGTTTGGTAATTCATTGCAATGGCTACACAGAACTCACAGGCAGTTCTCACAGTTATGGGGTTAATTAGGGAAGTAACAGGTTACAAATGAGGATCAGAAACAAGTCAGGATACAGTTCTTCAAATAAGACAGCTTTTTCTCAGCTGTGCCACAGGCACACTTGGTCTGTGCCTCATCTTCTGCTTTGCTCAGGCCAGTGATCTTTTTGCTTTGCTTAATAGGTGCCCAGAGAGGTACCCTACTGGCTTTTATCAGCCAGGAACTCTATCTTATTGTACACTATTTGTGATAGTTCCTGAGGAGAATACTTGATTTTTTT